AATCTATTGGCTTGTGTGAAGAGTTGTGGCAAAGAATACAAATTGCTGCCAACGAAGTCAGACGCAATCCCAATATGTTGTTACAAACTCGAAGATCTCTCAGAAAACGTGTAAAGTGTATCAGTGTCAACGATGGATTCTTACAATTACTTTAAATCATAATTACGTATTTTATTTGTTTTATTGTTAATTGTTGTAATAACACGAAGAAACACTTGATTTGTTTCGCTTTTAATTTCTCATATTATCAAAACATAGTATTCGTTAAATCGATTTTTCTCGAAAACGGATCGAGATACCGAAATTACAACACGCATCTTATCCGTCGCCTTAAAAAATATAGTTTCACAAATTTTCAAGTTCCTAACCTACATATTTTCAGAATAATCGCAAAAAAACGATTTAAAAATATAACTTTCAACACCCTGTATTTCCGAAACTATTAACTTTCTGATAAGGCATGTTTGCGCCAATGGTCACCATTTCACGTGTAGTATCTTCATCTTTCGACTTTCCCATTGTTAATGAATCACCCTGTATAGGACTATAGGGCTTGTATTTACAAAAAGACAAAGAAAAATTTCATTTTTAAGGATAAAAATATGTACATACGAAATTTGATATTGATTCTTCAAATAGTTTAGAAAATATTTAGAAGGTAACATTGTCAATAGGGCCTCTTCAAACTGATATATCTCAGTAAGGTAGGTACTGCAACTAATTCATTAACAAAGTTTATGTTAATTTTGATTAAAGAATATCCTGTAGAAATTTAGCAGTCGAATTAAGGACACCCTTTTAATTAGTCATTTCATAAAATAAAAATCAATTATACATCCGTCAATATATTCATTGTTATAATTGTTTATATGTCAAGAGGCAACTAGATATTTTAAAATATATATAAGTATATAAGCCAAGTTATGAAAATTTACTAGAAGGGGTCTTCATGGCTGCGAGCGCTGCGTTTTGTCTTACTAATTTAGAGGTTCGCGGTTCCATCCCCGATACGGACATACTTTTGTCAGTTAATATTTATTTCAAATGCAATTTCTTATCGTCCACTATTTAAAACAGAATTTTCTACAGTTGCTGGTCGTGAAATTAATAATTTTTCAGTGTTGTACATGTAGGTTATTTGCGTAAGAAAGTAATATTAGAAATTAATATCTTCTAGGTCTTTTTTATTTCCTTTTGTATTGTTGAAAAATGATTAAAAAGTTTTGTAAATATTTTATAGGTTGTTTCTTTTTTCAAAAAATGAATGGTAACACATTACTGTAAAATTTACATTTATTTATTCATTTTATTTTTGCTTTCTTTGTTTATTATTTAAAGCAATAATTTTTTATATATGTATTTATTGTAAATACATCTTGATATAATGTTAAAAGAAAGTTAAAGTTTCATAAAATTATGTTTAATTATAAAAAAGTTTTTTTAAATGTCGGCTACTGGAATTCAAGCTTCGAGATATAAAAATTTATATTATTTAAACTACTACTGGGCACTCAAATTTTCTTTCGGAATATTAAACTTAAATGTATGACGGATGTAAGTAACTAAAACAAGACTTTATTATCTGACTGAGAAGTCATTAAATTTTTCATTCGTTTATTTAAAAGTTAATTGAAAATATTATAACAAATAAGTTAACTAATGTTAAAAAAAAATTAAAGTTTAATAAAATTGCGATATAAAAATTTATATTGTTAAACAATAGGCACTCAAATTTTCTTTTATTAAACTTTTAATGGTTTTTACACAATTAATTTTTTAATTTAAAGTCCCGAACATGTTGAATGCAAAAAAACTGTTATTAAAATGAAAATTTTTAAAAACGGTTTTAGGTTATAATTGTTGGTAATGACTACTTTTGATTAAAATGCATGAACTCAAATTCCATGATCAAGTGGGAAATGGGGGTCCACTTGACGTCAAATCACGTCAAGTGACATGTCTTTTTTTTCTGGTAATAATACTGAGACTAATATTCAATCTATTAATTGTTATTCAGCGAAAAATAATTTGTTCTTTAGCAAACTTACATTTCCCTTTTTTAAATGTACACTAACCTTACTAAAAAGTCGGTGGCTATAACATTAAGAGGTTCCACATATTTTCTTGCTGTAGCCGGAGGTAATAGTATTTGTTGCACTTCTTTCCTAAACGCATCCCATTTGGGCCCGTGACTGAAATTTAAAATTACTAAAATCTCTCACCAAAAATAAACAGGCGACAACTCTTTCATTTAAGATATCTCCATATTTAAGATATTTCTTCGGATATATCAATATCACGCGACGTCACACTAAAAGTCTTCGCTACTTACACTCCTATCACACCCTCGTTGCCTTCAAAGAAATCTTTTTGAAAGACCTGTTTGTAATAATGAAGAGACGGCATGGACGGTCTGTGGGGCATTCCTTCCTCTCTTCGAAACACTTTATGTATCAAGTCTCCGTCAAAAACGAAGAGTAAATCTGGATGTCCCACCAAGCCGCCTACTTTTACTATTTTTCCATATTCCCTCCTAAGGGACCACATCACCTTGTCCAACTCGTGAATTTTATACTGGCCTGAAATTTAGAGAGAAGATAAATTGAAATAGGAAGACCAATTAGAGTGCCAAAATATTACGCAGATTTATTTTCTACATTTCGATCCACGCGACTGGTAAGGGTATAATGTGAAAATAATAACACATCTTTCCCATTTGTACACTTATGACACGCACTGACACTCTTCAGATGGCTACTGATTTCTAGAAGTCAGTGGTCCCCTTTTCATTTTTGTTTTTGTACACAGTGTGGCAAAGATAGAAATAGGCGTATTAAACAAAGGTGGCTTAATGTTGCCATGTACAATAGTCAGTCATTTTTTTATTGAGTAAATATGGCAATTCCTATTACCCACCTATTATGGGGGCAAATCTCCAAGCATTTCCGATGAGAGGCCATTCTTTTGGCCCTGGTATCTCGCTGTATTCTTTAGGGATACATTCCACTGGCTCTATTTTGCGTTCAAATACGTTTTCATCGTACATTTCAGGCGTTACAGCTATTGCCGTCGAATATGTTCGATCGACAGCTGTTGGCTTATCTGTTATCCATCTTTTTTTCATCATTTGTACAGCTCTTGGTCTTAATAACTTCCTTGGTATCTCCTTAGACATCTCTAGAGTGATCTGAAGTAAAAAAAGAAACATTGTCAGTGTCAGTAACATATTAAATAACATGCAATTAAAGGATAAGGTTTTACGTAGATATTGACATATTTATTTGCAATATTAGACCTATAAAAGTTATTGCAAAATATAATTGCTTTTAACGAACTGTTAGTTATTTTACTCCACTGGAAAGGGAAAGGGAACAAAACTATTTCGTAATTTGTTAGTGATTTTTGAATTTTGAAGCTTGAAGTTTCTAGTTTCAAGGTCCTTTAACTTGACAAACATTTCTTTTGAGCTATGATTATTAAGGAATCAAAAGAAATATCTCGAGAAAAAGAATTCCATCCAATTACTCCAATTTTCCCAGATATTTTAAACTTCTGGCAGAAACTCTTCAGAATGGACCCCTTAGAGTGTCGGAACCGAGATGCTTGTACAAAATTTTGAAGACATTCCCCATAAATTAAAATATGTGCCATTTGGGCAAAACTGTTAAAACAACAAGCTATAACATTAACACTAAATTAACATCTACTCACAACAAACTGAAACCAAAACATAGAACAAAATCGATTATTAAAATGTCCAAGAATGACCGTACGAATGTATGAATTATGATTAATAAATTTGATAACCGGCATCAGAAATCTCATTGACTTCAGATGTTATTATAAAACCTTTATTAGATTGACTAGTTGCGAAACTCATTATTTTGGCATCAGCTATAACCCATTAAAATTTAAACCCGACATTCGAAAGTACCCTGTATATGGAGTGTAAATTATTTGCACAATTTAGGGCTTTTAGCAAAAAGTTACATAAGTGCTTTTACCACCTGTCATTTCCTATTATTTAAATTGTTATTCTTTTACATTTATATGAGTTACATCAGAGAAGCTGTTGTAGATTGAAATTTAATCTTAATTAAAAACAATTATGCTCACACCTGGTATTATACAGTTGTAAATAATCTTCCAATACTAAATAGCTAATTATTAAATCTTAAAAACATCTGTAACTGCGTTAACACAAGACGTTAGTTTGAAAACAAGCTTACATATTAAGTTTAGTAGACAAAGAAATTGTAAATTTCTGTTTAATTATGTATTTAAAATATATTACAAAAAGTAATGAACGAACATTGTAAGGTTAAATTGGCAAATCCACCTTGAACTCACTGTTTACTTAATTTTTTAATTTATAACTACAAATTGGTATCTACAGATATATCGCAAGTTTACTTATTTAGATTTAATTAGTTTAATAATTAGCAACGCTTTCCTTAATTTTTAAATAAAAAGAAACCAATAAACAAATTGAATTTTAAAATATGAGCAGCTCTCCAAAGCTTTTAAGGTTTCAATAATAAATTTATATAATAATTATAATACATCATTTAGTGATAACAGTTTGCAGAGAGTTATATCATATTATGTTACCTATTTACAATTAGTTTCTCTTATTACAGAACTTTTGTTGATCATATTATTTAATAAGTATTACCCATAATTAATAAATTGTTCAATCAATATTGTTTATTAAATATATTGTTACAAAAATCACTTATTAAACTAATTAGTTTGTAATTCTTTCATTCCATTATGTTTTTCCAAATTTAAAGAATATGGTGTTAGCATTTTATTTTTTAACACTCAGTACACACATGTAATACGGGTAAATTGTATGTGAACCAAATGGTCAATTACTAATTTATATTTTTGCTTTGTATTTAATACTAGATCTTCCAAATTGTCCTGAACTGTTTCAAATATATTTTAAAATGTTTTTCACAACATAAGTTGCGGTGTATTTTCCAAATAACCAAACACTGCTAGATATTGTACTGATTCAGTACTTACATTATCCCAATTTGAACAAAAAAAAATGATCACAATCGACAAGTGCAACCGGCGAATCGGCGAACAAAAACAAATTAAAGCATTTCAGAAATCTACTAATCTAGTAATATCGTACTGACTTAGATTTATAAACTTTTATGTGGGGAGGGGTCAGTTTCAATCTTTTGCAATATTTCAGTGGAGGTGCGTTTTACGAGTCGCCTGAAACAAGTACTACAGACTCAACTCCAGTTACTCCAGCAAACTACAGTGTGAGAAATTTTCTTTTGTGGAGTGTAGCAAACGGTAGTAGGCGTTGAATGAAAGTATGTGTACAAAGAATTTGTCTTCTCGCACATCCTTAGATGACACTAGGTGTAAATCTTGTAACTTGTAAAGATTAATTATCGTTTCGTGTTTGCAAAATCAAGAAGAGAATATTTCTTAGTTGAAATGTGCAAAATAATTAAAGGCGAATGATATTGGTATAATAAAACAGAGGCATTATTTTTAAAGTAATTGATCTAAAAGTATTTTTTTATTCCAGTAGCGTGCCATATTTTTTGAGGACTATGTAACCAGCGTACTTCATATAGGTACAGAGTGTTCCACTTATCTTTCCCACCCGACTTATCTCGGTTAGTTTTGCAGATATAAAAATTTTGTTGAAATAAAAGTTGTAGTGTTTTTTATGAAGTTTATGTTTGTAAGAACAAAAAAAACAATTCAAATTTAAATGTCGGTGTGGCTGATACAACTTATTATTTTTTTAATGGAATACCTTGTAAATTATTACATTTTCAGTTCTAAAATGTTATTCCGAAGAAAATTATTTAAATGTATGTAAGGCACTTATTCTTTACAGTTATATTGTAAAATATCGGGAAACGAAAACAGAAGAACATAAACAATAGTTCGAATAAATAACAAAATTATAGAAAGAGTAATGAATATTAGAACAAGAACATAGAACAAGAAAAATGTAAATTATTTTAATCATTATTCTATGAGTCCTATTCCTCTGGATGCGATCAATTTTCTAATACATCGGGATTATTATTGATGTTCGCAATTTCTTCGGTCGTTATTCTTTCAATTAATTGATTTACATCTACTCTATTAGTACATACTTTATTTTATAAATAATCCTACAAGAAAAAATCCAGTGGACTAAGATCTGGACTACGGGAAGGCTACAATGTGGAGCTTTGCCTACCAATCCACATCGTGAAATTGTTATTTAAAAAGTTGGTAGCTTCTCCAGTATTATGACATGGTGCTCCGTTGTTGCCAGGTTATTACCCTCAGCTGGTTCAATGGAATTTCTGACGAAAGTCGTCTATTTCGTTTTGTCAAGAAAGTTTTTCTTGACGTGGTGTGCCTGTCAGGATACTTATTTCGGTAAACTCTGACAGCGGCGCTAGCATTATTGTTGTTATTGAAATATACCTCGACAATATTATTATGTTCTTTTTTGCTAAACTGTGTATTTCCCACTTTAATTTTCCGAAAATTAATTCACAACTATTGTTCATTGTTATTTTAATTGTCATAAATGTCAAAATAATTATTGGAAACAAAATATTAATAAAATCATGGCAATCTTGAATATGCAATATGCGGGGTTTATTTATTCGATTAAATGCAAATATATCAAAAACTGTCAAAAATAAGCGCCACATATGTTATATATTTTTGTTCAGAATAAAATTTTGCATCTAAAAATGTAATTGGTTTTTTGTTGCTACAAATAGAAAAAACACTACAACTTTTATTTCAACAAAATTTTTATATCTGCAAAACTAACCGAGGTAAGTGGAACAGGAAAGTTAAGTGGGAAATAGTCCAGAGTTAGAAAACAATATAAAAATACTCAAGAAACGTTAAGAACTTGATAATATTTAATCTTCCAATGATAAAACAGCTTACAAGAAGTCTTAAAAGTCATGAAAAAGGTGGCGATTTGCAACAAGAAGTTTCCTTAATGCAACCTCTTTTGCATTTTTCACTTAATTCCAGTTAAAGTATACAAGTTTTTAAATTATATTTTCCCAGTATCGATTATCTCGACTTTTCAGATTTATTTCAATTGTTATTAGAAATGATTGTATATATTTAAAAATGATTGTTTATAGTGACAACTCATAAATTTCGCTTCATATGTATCAGCTCAATTTTACTCCTAATATTTAATTAGTAGTTAATAAAAATAAAAAAATATTTGGAACAGTGTGCTAACAGCTAATACTTTTTTAACTGAGTCCAAAATTGGATCATTTTCTAAATATTTTTTTTGCTGCAATTACGTTATGTTGCTATAAACTATAATAGGCATCCAATTTGTTACAAATGACTGAAAACAAGAATTACATAACATTCTCATGGATATGAAATTACAAAAAATATTAACCTTAACATTGACGCTAACAACTAAATAATTAGGGTTTAGTTAATTTCGTGAGGAAATCATACAATTATGACAAAATTTTATTGGTAGTGAGTGGCAAATGGGTTAACAATGTTAACATGCTTACTTGGGCTCGTACCCATCTAGAAGAAATACGTTCCTTATGAAAAGATATCTGATTTAAAAATAAAAATGATGATTGTGACATAATGATATATTCGTCTTTGTTACATATTTACATTATAGGCTTGTCATTTAATGCAAACTATGTTTTAGTACTTTGGTATATATTCGAACCCGCAAAACCGCTTCACGAAAGTATTTGTTTATAAAGTCAAAATTTTTCGAATTTTTAAAATCGCTCCAAAAATTATTAAAAAAAAGAAAATTAATATTATAACGATTCTATATGATAGTTAAATAATCCAAGTATGTGTAAAAAAATCAGCGCCAATTAAAATGCCTTTAACTTTAACCCCACCACTGACGCAAAAAAATAACGACATTTCGCGCTGAAATTTAGTAACAGATTGTCTCATACCAAAACTATCAGACCGATTTTGATCGGGTTTTGGAATTTCGTTTTGTAATCCTTTAAAGTACTTACATCTACATTTATAGTAGAATTGGACAATTTCTTACCTATCAGTTGAAGGCTTCAAAATTACCTCTATTTTCATCACTTTCTCACGCTGTTTTAACTATCTAGCAACAAAAATATGAAATGCGCAGGTACCTATCAAAATAATTCTGTCTTATAGAAAATTTCATAACAAACAATTTGATCAGTAATCGTTTTTTCTGTAAACTGCATATTTAAGAAGTTATATTGGAAAATGTGAGAAAAAACACGTGATTTTCATTGTTTATATTATTTTCGACCGATTTTTACTAATATCTAATCTACGTCAAGCAATAGCTATATCTCGAAGGTTTTGAGCTTAATTCTCTTGGACTATATAGGAACGTACCTGCATCGAAATCGACCATCAAGTTTTGTTACGATAATCTGTATTAAACAGTAATTTTTCTTATGAGTGTTACAAAAACATACGGCAAGCTTAAAAAAAAACTATCAACTATAGATTATAATTTTTGATTTATATTTAAAAAGTCAAAAAGTAAAAAGCGTGGGATGGTGACACTGTCTACTTATAAATATCTTGGTCTTTACTTGTAACTTTTTTTTTACGCAGTTAACAGTTGAATCTAGCAAAGTGCACATAGTTATGGCAAAAAAATCATTTATTAGTGTCTACAAAGTCGTTTATTTTTAGTAAAAAAAGATATTTGTTTATATTGACATAAAACTGATCATCCCAGGATGACAACCTGAGAACCACGATAAAAATAGTTCTCTCCGTGTAGATCTTGCGATAAAAAACTCCACACTTTTTGTAAGACCATTTCTATCTATCCAAGCTTTCAGTGAATGAATTTTTAATTTCCCCAAATTTTACTGTTTCTCTAAGGTACTTTACAAAACTAAGTACCGGTAGACATTTAATTTTAATTTATAAATTTTGTAACAATTTTATAAAAAGGCTGTTACAACAGACCTGCAACTAAATATAGGTAGGTAATCTTTACAAATATTACTTATTATTTGTTTATCACACTAATATACTTACGTTCTGTCTGAGTAATTCCTGAATGAATATTTGCACGCACTTTCAATTTTCGCCGCATTTGTCGAGATTACAGGAAATTGCTTGACAGTATGGCATAACAAATGTGTAATGTAATAACAAATGAAAACATTGCTCTTTTCATTGTTTAATTTACATCTTTTTACATAATTTCCATCAATTATGTGTAGCTTTATGTTTATTCATATTTGTAGATAAAATAATGAATATTAAACAGACATATTACAAAAAAATATATATATCTATTGCAAAAAGAGCTATTACAGTTTATTATAACAGCGCATTTTATTGTTATGTGTAACATCAAAGATATAATAAAGGTGAACCAATTTCAATACTTTTGAGAAATTTCTAATAATTTCCGAGAAGTTAGAAAGAAATGGTTCTTATACGTTTTGGATATATACGCCCTATACAGGGTGTCCCACCGGTAACTGCGTCCGATGACTGATATCTATAAAAGTAATGCTCCGAAAAAATTGAGCATTTGGCAACATGGCAATGTCCCTATGGCGAGCACAACTAAAATATCTAGAACTCTCCAGCACTTCCGGTTATACCGGAAGTCGACAACAACTTCGTTATTTTAAATGGGAACCCTATATATTATTGCATTTTCGGATGCTATGTGAAATTTGAGGGTCACTTTATTCAATACCTAGGAGTTATAGATTTTGAGATATTACTTGTTAAAGAAAAAATTTGACAGATGCAAAGGTCCCCGAAGATGCTTGTAACTCTTTTCAGGAGATTGATATCAAATGGATTTTTGGTAGCTGTAAACGGCATAGGTAACACTAACTTATGGTATACCAACAATTTAAAACGTTTACTAAGAGGTGTTTCATTTTTGCTGTTACATTTTGATAACTTCAAACAGCTATAACTTTGTTAAGTTAAATGAAACTCCCTGTATTTTTTTACTTTGTCGTATGCAGATTGAAATTTTCTTTCAAGTGATATAAGCATCGTTAGGGTTGCCGTTACTACTTTTAGACATATTTGCAATTTTCTATATTTTGCAGTTTTTCTCGTATCAGACTTGTCAAATTGTCCGTGATCAGAAAATACTCTAAAAACAATTGAAATAACATGACATTTGTCAAGTTAGTTGTCAAATTATTGTTGTGTCTGAATAGTTTTTGTCGAAATGACTGGGGATCGTTTAAATTATACTAATGAGGATTATTTTAATTTGTTTGTTATTTATAGACAATGCGCTAATTCTCTACATGTTCTTGAAATTTTGTCACATCGAGATCAAAATTATTATAAATATATAAAGTAAAAGATACAAGTATTTTCTATATCAGAAAAAATAAGCTTTATATATTTTTGCTTTTTCATTTTGGAAGGAATATCCAATTTTGTTAATATAAGAAACCACACAAATCTATTTCTTTTGTTGCTCAAGAAGATGCTAATGTATCTAACAGAAAAACTTTACTGATAAGAATTATTTGTTTATTTAAGAACGATTTCATCGCAACGCATTGTTAACATTTCTGAAGTAGGTTCGTCATATTTACTCCCGTAGTTCATACAGACGAAAGTATGTTGAAAAAATTAATGCCGCTATTAAGAACGGCACGACCAGACGTCGTACCTATATTCTCGTCCTCCATAAGAGTTTTGTAATAGTTCCGCATTTAATCTAAAAACAGATGTTATATAATAATTAACTTTCTCAAGCACTGCGTAAATTATGTTTGTTTAGTAATAACTCTCATGCGGTCCGTTGAAATTTGCAAATATTTTCGTTTTGCATGTTGGGTCACTACATATTTAAATACCAAATTTATAACCAATAACATATTTTTAAAAGAGCTGCTGACATTTTTGTCTAGTTAAAAATGATTTGAGACAAAATAGAAAGATATTTCACAATCTTAAATTCTGTCGACTGATTTTAGAATGTGTAGCTAGTCGGTTTTCAACCCAGTTTCGATTATAAAAACATAAGGGGAGGCGATCTTTCAAATTTTATTAATCTTGTACAAGATTTACAAAGAGAAAGATTTAGTTTTCTAAAAAATCTTGATTTTTATTGTGACAATTTTAATATTTTATTTAGTGTTCAAAATTTTTCAAATTGTTAATTATAAAGTCTCTAAGTTTGTTTAATTTGGCCAAATCAGTCAGTGAAGCAAAAATACGGTATTCCGGAAACTCAAACCTTTCTGAACTGAATCTTATTTTATAATAAAGGATTTATTAATAAATTGTAGTGTTGTGAACTATTTTCAAATCATAATTGTTAGCTACATACTTTTATCACGTTTTTCTTTTCTTTTGGATTACGTAATCTTAAAAGAGTTCCTATGTTTCTCTACAAGTTCTGTTTTATATTCTAAATTAACTTGTTCTCTACAACACAATTTCCTCAACTGTTTCAAAACAGCTGTTGTTGTAAACAGGACTTAAAAATTTTTTTAGTATGTACTCATTGTTTATTTATTCAAATTTATAATAATTGTGCCAGGGAGATCATTATTAAATAACTTCTAATGTTCTAAATTTGCCTCACCTAAAAAAATAAATATTTCAAACAACATACTTATTATTTTTTTATTATAGTCTATTTGGAAATGAAAGAGAGTAATAAAACCCCGAGATAAGAACCGGCCATGGGCGTGGTAATATTTCGTTTCAGGTAATTATCGGGTAACACTAATGCTAATTCCGTGACGAAGGGAGGAATATTTATTATCTAGACGAAACTTGGGTCAACGAGGGATATACTGTAACAAAAGTATGGCAAGATAAAAATGTAAAAAGTTTTCGACAAGCATTTTTGGATGGACTTTCAACAGGGTTCAAGGCACCTTCAGGTAAAGGGCGAAGATTAATAGTGACACATATAGGTAGTGCCAGTGGTTTTGTAGATGGCGGTTTACTTTTATTTGAATCTAAAAATACAG